TATGTATCATATTAACAACGGCTGAATGATTAATTGATTAATGTCTTACGGCAGTTTCTGGTGTAAATTTCACACTTACATGTAAAACTGGATTAGCCTCAATGATTTTGCCAGATGAGCGTGTCCTCCCCATTGTCTCCCCCACTCCCTCTTACATGCAAACCCATGAACGTCCTCCAACCTGTTGACCCAATCAGTGACATAAAGAGGCCCACCCTTCAGGAACCCAGTGCTTCATAATGCATTTAAAAGTGCCATTTCCCGACTACAAGTCAAGATGTCAAGGAGGAGGAGAGCAGAGATGGACTGAGAGCGAAGGAGAAGAGAAGAGGCGGATCAAGAGGCCACTGCGAGTCAAAGCTGACTCATAGGGATTGTAGGGCGGAGGTTTCACTGCTGCCTTGTGTTTTGTTGTTTTTTGGGGTTGTGTGTTTCTCTTTTTTTACTGCCCCTGAAGAAGCTCCTCCAACCACACACACACATATACAAACATAACATACACACATACATGCATGCTCCGGGGACGCCTCCCGATGCAGGTGCTGAGAAATGGGCCGAGAAAGGCATCCATTCGCTCTGCACTGAATAATACAACCTGTGATTAATTATAATTTGGCCTCACAAAGGCAGGGGCTAGGGGAATTCCTCTGTTGGTCTGGACTGCAACTTATTGTGTTTTTCCTTCCCGTGCAGGCCGATGCCGGGGCGGAGCAGAGACCGAACAGGGGTACTGGATGCCTGCACGTCTGATGCGGACCCTTACTGCTGGAGCTGTTGCATAACATGAAGGTCTTTAATGGGGAAGGACTGCACTCTGCAGACTGGAACAGAGCAACAAGAGTTTAACACACACTTGAGGGTAAAGAAAGTCAGTGTGGCCAGAGATGGCTTAGTGGTTCCTGGCTTTGGAGCTACATTGCTTGCCTGAGTGAAAGAAAGGCCACCCAAAAGAGAACAAAGAGAGAGAATAAGGAAAAGCAGAACTTCTTTATCTCTGGGTTCCTCCCAAAATTCTTATAGGTTGCCCAAATAATGACATGTAATCTTGGTTTTCTTCTAAATTTCTCACATTAGTTCCTTTGTTAGGCTGACCCAGTGTAAATAAACACCAGTGAAAGTTATACTTCAGCAAGGTGTGGTCTCTTTTACTTAAAATTATATTGTATTACATATCATCACTATTATTGCCCTTAACCTTTGACGTCAAACATGTATTACTTTATCAGATAGATTAACAGTGTTTACCTTTCACCTCAAACATGTGGCATGAATCCAGCCTCAAAAAGTTGTTATATTGGATGTCGCGCTCTTTTCTAATTCTTTTATTTGAGCACACTTGGTCTTTTTCAAGGCAAGGTTATTAACACACACTATGCAGTATATACAGTATAAAAATACAGTTTAATCATGTTTATTTTTTTTTACACATTTGAATCACATTCAGTGTTTTTGGCACTGATCAATACGATGTCAAAATTAGAACAAACTGAACTAAATTAAAGGGACACTCCCTCATGATGTCATCAGGGTCATCTCGGCTTGGGCTTGAGTCAAAACTGGAGCTGTGGGGTTTGAAAGAGGGCGGGACGGGTCTAATGAAACATGCAGTTTAGTTGCATTATGGGAGCTTGACCAAGGAATATCTCTACCACTTTGAGTTTGATCGTCCTTTTTTCAAATCTGTCCATAGTGAGATCCCCAGTTTTATAAAAGGGCAATACAAAATTGGTGGAGTACCCCTTTAAGCACAAATATATAACACAAAAAACAATTGCATATTAACCACCATAACCCCTTTATATATGCCGATCTGGTCTCCTTCCTGTAGCCAGCACAGGATTATATGCTCTGTGAGCAGTAAACCTAATATAGTATACTTGACAACCATCATAAATATCACTAACTTTACTTTTAGCTAATCGTAGATGCTATTATACAGAGCTGGACACTTTCAGGGATATGGAACAACCAGCGTGCCACCTCCTTACAACCGCTTTGTAATTGGAGTCGGAGGTGCCAGGGAAAGTGGGTTGCCCTCGGGTCACTGGGGTGTCAGAGTTGTAATGAAAGATAATAACCAATCCCCTTTTAGCTAACAAGAAATCAGCTAAAGATCTCATCAGGACTGCGGCCTTGTGCGACAACTTGTACAGCAGAACCCAACTGTGGGCCGACCACTCTCTATGCAGAACAGTGAGTATGACTTGGCACGGGAGACTGCTGCTTAAGAATCCCCTGTGTTCACCAAGAACGCCCTTGATTAACTAATCGCTTCTGGATACACATCCAACCCGTTCATTTTTGATTTTTTAATCATCAGAATAACAAAAGATCATGTGTCCTTTGCTGCTCGGAAAGCAGATTCAGTAAAGTAAACCTCAGAGCTGTTTGTGTGGTATGTTGTACTCTGACCAGACAACAACAACAAAGATTACTTCTCAGTTTGAGTCGAATCATTGGGAATAAAAAGGTGAATAAACCGTGAACTCAGTCAGTGGTTATCATCAGACAAACACCCACTAATATAAATAGAAATCAATAAGGGCTTCACTAAAACCCACCTTATTTATTATAAAGGCCTAGTGCTCATACCAGTTTGACACACTTACACCAGTGATCCATACTGGTAACATTTCTCAAGCAGTTGCAAGCCCCTGCCGGTTTTACTTTGAGCATGGGTCAAGTGAGAGTTGGTGAGAAAATGTTTTGCTGTGTCCAATGACCTGTATAGATGACCCACATCAATATCAGGGTCTCATCCACACGTGTAAAATTGGTGGCTTGATGAAGAGGGGACCAGTGGCCTTGTTTACACCTAGCATTAAAGGCATCTTAGTGGACAGTAAGTACGTCAGATCTCATTTCACCAGTCGGTATGCAAATTAACACGTTCATTCATCCCTTGAAAAGAGCAAATGCGTTGTTGTTTTTAACTGACAGGAGGCAGCAATGTGCTTCCTGTGCCACGTCTGCCAGAAATTAAGACAAAAAGAAGTTTCAAAATAAAAGAAATTCATTTATTTGTAAACCAAATTGATGTTTGCTGCACGCGTAATATATCTCTATGTGTAACACCAGCTTACACAGAGGATGTCAGATGAGTAGGAGCTCCTTTAATGTGTCTCAGGACACATTCGTGTACACAGTGCTAAAAGAACGAGGCCCAGACCACAAATAGGATGGTGGTCCAACCAACAGGATCTCAATATGTGGTACTTGTGACAACCCCATGTGTCCTGTGGAAAGGGCTCGATGTGGGGATATCCCAGGTCATCAGGTTTGTAAATAGTCCCTGCGAAGGGAAATGTGGTTTTCGTGGTGTGAATGATGACCATGACTGAATGAAATCCAGTGATATGAGAAACCAAATATGAAGCAAAAATACACAAGTTGTCCTGATATTCAAAAATAATGGATGAGGTTGAGGCAAAGGGAGAGATCAGCCCACGAGTTCCCTGCACCAGGTCATACAGTAGGTAGCTGCTGGCAAACAGTTAGCACAAAAAAGACAAAGACAAAGATGTGGACGATTCTGCAAAACGCCAGATTGATGGTAATGTTTTTAAAATGATTCATTTCTGTAACATCTTTGTATGCAACTACTGCATACTTGAGGTAATGGGAACATTGTGGTAATAAACTATGGTTAAGGTTTGGTTGAATTTAAAGCTAAAACACTTGTTTAAGTTTAAGATACAGTAGTTTAGGAACCATGAATGGTAGATTATGGTTAACATTAACTGCAGGTCTATTAGAGAGAAACACAAACTCCCACAAGTACGTCAGATGTCCACGTCCATCCACCACCCTGACCTTTCCGCCTCGCTGAAGGGGCACAATACTTCCTGAACTGACACTGAACATTGCCACTGGATTTAAATTGTGACGTAACATAACTCCAGTGGTCAAATTCATGCAAATAACAGAACACAGTGTAGTCTGAAAACACCTTTAGAGGTGTCCTTTTAGCCTGCCACTACATTAAAGTAGCCTATTTCCTGCAGCAATGCCATTAGATTTACAAATGAATTGTTATTTTTCAAAAATTAGTATAAGTTTATAATATGCAAGGGCATTTGTTAGGGGCATTATTTAATTCAGAATAGACTATTACAATACAAACCCAACACTTTGTGACATCCTAGTCTCATTAAACATGTTTGTTGTTGTTGACCAAACTGACAAAGAATAAAAGAATAAAACATTCCTGTTTTATCTTATTTTATTTTCATTTAGTCTAGGTTTTATTTTACATAAAGGTCCAGTGTTTAACATATAGGAAGATCAATTGGCAGAAATATAATATTTATTATATGTTCTCAGTAGTGTTTAGTCACCTGAATAAAGGAACTGTTGTGTTTTCGTAACCTTAGAATGAGCCGTTTTTATCTACAGAGGGAGCGGGTCCTCTTCTGTGGAGTCCGCCATGTTCAACCGCCATGTTTCTACGGCAGCCCAGAACGAGCAAACCAAACACTGGCTAAGATAGATAAGGCCTTT